CTGCAACACACAACTATATTATCAAGAGAAACACATTACTCAAATAAATGCTACAAAATACATCAACAGTGCACATTTACTGGTGTATAAACACTAAGATATACATGCATAGATAATTAAAGTGTAATGAACACTTTCAGTGCTCAGTAATAACCTACACTGAAGCAGAAACTCGTAAGAGAAATTGATGTATGTTTTGATCCCCTTCTGGGATCCTCTTCAGCAAATATGTAAGTGAAATGATAACATTAATATACAGGGAAGGTTGCACCTCTCCCCGTACAAAGCAATGTAGGGGAATGTTTCAAGCAGTGGGCAGGTGAGAAGTTCCTTTGTGCTATGTAATTTCTGATGTTGTGCTGGTGTTCTGTAATAGTGAATTTTGAAATGATGTCTGGTTTCCGTTGTCCCTGTGAGTAAGTAAGTTTATTCAGGTACAGTTACATAGATTATCATACATAGCAGTATATGTGAAGAGAACCTAGGATTATTTCCATTGGTGAGATGTTGAAATTGGGAGTGGTAGCCATGAGGACAGATTCTATAATTTTGGATTTGTGACTGCAGTGTAATTTGTGTCTGATGGTGGCAGCTTCCCAATGAATATTGTGACTGCTGATGCTGACATGTCAAAAAAAATGGCTGAATTATCCTGTGCATAACGTACTGCCCTCTGGTGTTCAATGATCCTTGAAGATAGTGTTTGGCCTGTGTGCCCTACATATGCTTGGTTGCAGTCTTTACATGGTATCTGGGTAAACTCCTGGAGTGTCTTTCACAGCTGAATGTTTGTGTTTCTTGGAAAAGAGATTTCCTAGTTTGTTGGGATGGAACATGATTATGTTGGTTACTTTGTTGAGACGATTGAATGTACCTTGGTGGTAAGGCACCATGAGTTGAGATTTGCTGGATGGGGTCAAGTTTTTGTGAACTGTGTATATACACAAAGATAAAAGTGCTCCTTGCTTTATGATGGTTCGACTTACAATGGTGCATCAGCTATTTACATTCCTGGCAATGGTAAACCATACTCTGTCTCTGCAACGATCATGAATGTGAACATCTCATTTATTTACTTGTCAATAATGGTACAGTTGAGAATCCTTTATCCGGAATGTTTGGGACATGAAGTGTTTCAGATTTCGGATTTTAATGGATTTTGGAATACAGTGGTACACCAAGTTTCGTACAGCTCCCAACTTGAACAATTATGTAAGAGTATTATTGTACAGTGAACCCTCGGTTATCGGCCATAATCCGCTCCAGAAGCTTGGCCTAAAACCAAAATGGCCGAAAACCGAAATAATATTTCCCATAAGAATTAATGTAAATACAATTAATCCATTCCAGACAAAAATATTCACAAAAAAAAAAATTAACAATTAATGCTGGTTTCAGGAAGATAGGAAGGAGGAAAGAGAGAGGAGTTATTGTTTGGAAGGGTAATCCCCTTTCATAAGGACTTCAATTAGCAAAGCCCTCTCTGGGGTTACTTCCCTTCTTGGTCTTTTAATGCCACTAGGACCAGCTTGAGAGTCACTCCACCAACTACACTCCCTGCATGTCTGCTACACTTCCTGCATGTCTGCTACACTCCCTGCATGCCTGCTACACTCCCTGCATGCCTGCTACACTCCCTGCATGCCTGCTACACTCCCTGCATGCTTGCTACACTCCCTGCATGCCTGCTACACTCCCTGCATGCCTGCTACACTCCCTGCATGCCTGCTACACTCCCTGCATGCCTGCTACACTCCCTGCATGCCTGCTACACTCCCGCATCCTGCTAAACTCCCTGCATGCCTGCTAAACTCCCTGCATGCCTGCTAAACTCCCTGCATGCCTGTGCTAAACTCCCTGCATGCCTGCTACACTCCCTGCATGCCTGTACACTCCTGCATGCCTGCTACACTCCCTGCATGCATGCTACACTCCCTCTTGCCTGCTACACTCCCTGCATGCCTGCTACACTCCCCGCATGCCTGCTACACTCCCTATGCCTGCTAAAACTCCCTGCATGCCTGCTACACTCCCTGCATGCCTGCTACACTCCCTCTATGCCTGCTGCACTCCCTGCATGCCTGCTACACTCCCCTGCATGCCTGCTTACCACTCCCCGCATGCCTGCTACACTCCCTGCATGCCTGCTTTAAAATCCCGCATGCCTGCTAAACTCCCTGCATGCCTGCTAACTCCCTGCAATGCCTGTGCTAAACTCCCTGCATGCCTGCCCACACTCCCTGCATTGCCTGCAAAACTCCCTGGCATGCCTGCTACACTCCCTGCATGCCTGCTACCCTCCTCTATGCCTGCTACACTCCCTGCATGCCTGCTACACTCCCTGCATGCCTGCTACACTCCCTCTATGCCTGCTACACCCCTGCATGCTGCTACACTCCCTGCATGCCTGCTACACTCCCTCCATGCCTGCTACACTCCCTGCATGCCTGCTACACTCCCTGCATGCCTGCTACACTCCCTGCTTGGCTGCTACACTCCCTGCATGCCTGCTACACTCCCTGCATGCCTGCTACACTCCCTGCATGCCTGCTACACTCCCTGCATGCCTGCCCAAACTCCCTGCATGCCTGCTACACTCCCTGCATGCCTGCTACACTCCCTGCATGCCTGCTACACTCCCTGCATGCCTGCTACACTCCGTGCATGCCTGCTACACTCCCTGCATGCCTGCTACACTCCCTGCATGCCTGCTACACTCCCTCAAAGCCTGCTTTCACTCCCCCGCATGCCTGCTACAAATCCCTGCATGCCTGCACATCCCTCTATGCCTGCTGCACTCCCTGCATGCCCGCTTACCCCTCCCTGCAAAGCCTGCTACACTCCCTGCATGCCTGCTACACTCCCTGCATGCCTGCTACACTCCCTGCTTGCCTGCTACACTCCCTGCATGCCTGCTACACTCCCTGCATGCCTGCTACACTCCCTGCATGCCTGCTACACTCCCTGTATGCCTGCTACACTCCCTGCATGCCTCCTACACTCCCTGCATGGCTCCTACACTCCCTGCATGCCTCCTACACTCCCTGCATGCCTGCTACACTCCCTGCATGCCTGCTACACTCCCTGCATGCCTGTTACACTCCCTGCATGCCTGCTACACTCCCTGCATGCCTGCTACACTCCCTGCAAGCCTGCTACACTCCCTGCATGCCTGCTACACTCCCTGCATGCCTGCTACACTCCCTCTATGCCTGCTACACTCCCTGCTTGCCTGCTACACTCCCTGCATGCCTGCTACACTCCCTCTATGCCTGCTGCACTCCCTGCATGCCTGCTACACTCCCTGCATGCCTGCTACACTCCCTGTATGCCTGCTACACTCCCTGTATGCCTGCTACACTCCCTGCATGCCTGCTACACTCCCTGCATGCCTGCTACACTCCCTGCATGCCTGCTACACTCCCTCTATGCCTCCTACACTCCCTGCATGCCTCCTATACTCCCTGCATGCCTCCTACACTCCCTGCATGCCTGCTCCACTCCCTGCATGCCTGCTACACTCCTTGCATGCCAGCTACACTCCCTGCATGCCTGCTCCACTCCCTGCATGCCTGCTACACTCCCTGCATGCCAGCTACACTCCCTGTATGCCTGCTACACTCCCTGCCTCTATGCCTGCCTGCCTTGAATTCTATCATGTTTCTCACTTTCTTTACCAAAGGAAATTTACTAAGAACTTTCTTTGGGGCCATGGTGACTTATTTCGCAGTTGCACTTGATAAATAACCACCAAAAAAATGTATTATAGCGAAATGCTTGGATGAAAGAGCAGAAGCTTCCTCACTCACCCAGAGACACAGCAAGACTGATGTGAGCAGCTGCCAGAAGGCAGGTGAATGTGTCCCATACGGCCGATAAGCAAAATAACGGCAGATAACCGGAAGTCAAAAAACCGGCCTATAACTGAGTTGGCCAATAAAAGGAACGGCCAATAACCGAGGGTCCACTGTAAGTGCTTTTTTAAGTGTACTTTTGGGGGTCTGAAACGGACTGATCTAATTTACATTATTCCTTATGGGAACAAATTCGTTCAGTAATGGCACTCAAACAGACTTCTGAAATGAATTACGGCCGAAACTTGGGGTACCATTGTATTTGTATATTATGAAACTAATCAGCAAAGATGTCCCTGGTTATCTATGCAACTGTGTTAGCATAATGGACTGGTAAGGTATTCACACATTTAACCCTTTCAGGGTCTGTGCCGCAGTTCTACGGTTTTGAATTGAGGGTCCAAGCTGTAGATCTACGCCATGGGCTCAGTTCACTCTGATAAGCTGTGAGCGGTAAATTTGGGCCTAGATATGAGAGAATATGTCTATGTGGTATGTGTGCACCACATATAACAAATCCTGCAGCACACAGTGCATAATGCGAGAAAAAACTGAGACCGTAATTTTCGATTAAAACAGCGACTTTGCAGTGTTTTTTCGTATGTTTCTTATAGCTGCATTTGCGATTTCTTGGTCTCATTTGATAGGTTTTATACTAAAAATGGCTTGAAACTGAGCTCAAAGTAGAGGAAATGTTAAATTTTTGCCGATGTTCAAGAGTAAACAAGTGACCTCACACGTCTAATATACGCCAGCTGGTGGGTCTAATATATGTTCACAAATGTTGTGATATTATTTATACAATTATTACAATACTGCATAACAGTAAATCTTCTATTTTTGGTTTGAATAAAAATTCATTATGTGAATGAAAAATCAAAATGGAATTCATTTGTAAAGCCTGAAAACGTAACTAATGAACAGAGGAAATGTTAGCTTAGTGCCAGGAATGCCTGCATTGTTTATTCTGGACCCTATTTTGAAATTGGAATATTTTGAACTTTGTGTAAAATTGGCCAAATTACCAATTTCCGATCACTTTATTTTGTAGTTGAAACAGTTGATTTGGCAATTTCTTGCACTCATTTGATAGAATAGAAGTAATACTAGTGAAATAGCTAAGAATTTGGTCGACTGGAATAATGT